GAGTGTGTGATAGTGTGTGTTGAGGAGTTGAGTGTGTGATAGTTGTGTGTGTGAGGAGGTGAGTGTGTGATAGTGTGTGTTGAGGAGATGAGTGTGTGATAGTGTGTGTTGAGGAGATGAGTGTGTGTGATAGTGTGTGTTGAGGAGATGAGTGTGTGATAGTGTGTGTTGAGGAGATGAGTGTGTGATAGTGTGTGTTGAGGAGATGAGTGTGTGATAGTGTGTGTTGAGGAGATGAGTGTGTGATAGTGTGTGTTTTGAGGAGATGAGTGTGGTGATAGTGTGTGTTGAGGAGATGAGTGTGTGATAGTGTGTGTTGAGGAGTGAGTGTGTGATAGTGTGTGTTGAGGAGATGAGTGTGTGATAGTGTGTGTTGAGGAGATGAGTGTGTGTGATAGTGTGTGTTGAGGAGATGAGTGTGTGATAGTGTGTGTTGAGGAGATGAGTGTGTGATAGTGTGTGTTGAGGAGATGAGTGTGTGATAGTGTGTGTTGAGGAGATGAGTGTGTGATAGTGTGTGTTGAGGATGAGTGTGTGATAGTGTGTGTTGAGGAGATGAGTGTGTGATAGTGTGTGTTGAGGAGTGAGTGTGTGATAGTGTGTGTTGAGGAGATGAGTGTGTGATAGTGTGTGTTGAGGAGATGTGTGTGTGATAGTGTGTGTTGAGGAGATGAGTGTGTGATAGTGTGTGTTGAGGAGATGAGTGTGTGATAGTGTGTGTTGAGGAGATGAGTGTGTGATAGTGTGTGTTGAGGAGTTAGTGTGTGATAGTGTGTGTTGAGGAGATGAGTGTGTGATAGTGTGTGTTGAGGAGATGAGTGTGTGTGATAGTGTGTGTTGAGGAGATGAGTGTGTGATAGTGTGTGTTGAGGAGATGAGTGTGTGATAGTGTGTGTTGAGGAGATGAGTGTGTGATATAGTGTGTGTTGAGGAGTCGAGTGTGTGATAGTGTGTGTTGAGGAGATGAGTGTGTGATAGTGTGTGTTGAGGAGATGAGTGTGTGATAGTGTGTGTTGAGGAGATGAGTGTGTGATAGTGTGTGTTGAGGAGATGAGTGTGTGATAGTGTGTGTTGAGGAGTTGAGTGTGTGTGATAGTGTGTGTTGAGGAGTGAGTGTGTGATAGTGTGTGTTGAGGAGATGAGTGTGTGATAGTGTGTGTTGAGGAGATGAGTGTGTGATAGTGTGTGTTGAGGAGTTGAGTGTGTGTGATAGTGTGTGTTGAGGAGTCGAGTGTGTGTGATAGTGTGTGTTGAGGAGATGAGTGTGTGATAGTGTGTGTTGAGGAGAGTGAGTGTGTGATAGTGTGTGTTGAGGAGATGAGTGTGTGATAGTGTGTGTGTTGAGGAGATGAGTGTGTGATAGTGTGTGTTGAGGAGTCGAGTGTGTGATAGTGTGTGTTGAGGAGATGAGTGTGTGATAGTGTGTGTGTTGAGGAGATGAGTGTGTGTGATAGTGTGTGTTGAGGAGATGAGTGTGTGATAGTGTGTGTTGAGGAGATGAGTGTGTGATAGTGTGTGTTGAGGAGTTGAGTGTGTGATAGTGTGTGTTGAGGAGATGAGTGTGTGATAGTGTGTGTTGAGGAGATGAGTGTGTGATAGTGTGTGTTGAGGAGATGAGTGTGTGATAGTGTGTGTTGAGGAGATGAGTGTGTGTGATAGTGTGTGTTGAGGAGATGAGTGTGTGATAGTGTGTGTTGAGGAGATGAGTGTGTGATAGTGTGTGTTGAGGAGATGAGTGTGTGATAGTGTGTGTTGAGGAGATGAGTGTGTGATAGTGTGTGTTGAGGAGATGAGTGTGTGATAGTGTGTGTTGAGGAGATGAGTGTGTGATAGTGTGTGTTGAGGAGATGAGTGTGTGATAGTGTGTGTTGAGGAGATGAGTGTGTGATAGTGTGTGTTGAGGAGATGAGTGTGTGATAGTGTGTGTTGAGGAGATGAGTGTGTGATAGTGTGTGTTGAGGAGTCGAGTGTGTGATAGTGTGTGTTGGAGATGAGTGTGTGATAGTGTGTGTTGAGGAGATGAGTGTGTGTGATAGTGTGTGTTGAGGAGTGAGTGTGTGATAGTGTGTGTTGAGGAGATGAGTGTGTGATAGTGTGTGTTGAGGAGATGAGTGTGTGATAGTGTGTGTTGAGGAGATGAGTGTGTGATAGTGTGTGTTGAGGAGATGAGTGTGTGATAGTGTGTGTTGAGGAGATGAGTGTGTGATAGTGTGTGTTGAGGAGATGAGTGTGTGTGATAGTGTGTGTTGAGGAGATGAGTGTGTGATAGTGTGTGTTGAGGAGATGAGTGTGTGATAGTGTGTGTTGAGGAGATGAGTGTGTGATAGTGTGTGTTGAGGAGATGAGTGTGTGTGATAGTGTGTGTTGAGGAGATGAGTGTGTGATAGTGTGTGTTGAGGAGTGAGTGTGTGTGTGATGTGTTGTGTTGAGGAGATGAGTGTGTGTGATAGTGTGTGTTGAGGAGATGAGTGTGTGATAGTGTGTGTTGAGGAGATGAGTGTGTGTGATAGTGTGTGTTGAGGAGATGAGTGTGTGTGATAGTGTGTGTTGAGGAGATGAGTGTGTGTGATAGTGTGTGTTGAGGAGATGAGTGTGTGATAGTGTGTGTTGAGGAGATGAGTGTGTGATGTGTGTGTGTGTTGAGGAGATGAGTGTGTGATAGTGTGTGTTGAGGAGATGAGTGTGTGATAGTGTGTGTTGAGGAGATGAGTGTGTGATAGTGTGTGTTGAGGAGATGAGTGTGTGTGATAGTGTGTGTTGAGGAGATGAGTGTGTGTGATAGTGTGTGTTGAGGAGATGAGTGTGTGATAGTGTGTGTTGAGGAGATGAGTGTGTGATAGTGTGTGTTGAGGAGATGAGTGTGTGATAGTGTGTGTTGAGGAGATGAGTGTGTGATAGTGTGTGTTGAGGAGATGAGTGTGTGATAGTGTGTGTTGAGGAGATGAGTGTGTGATAGTGTGTGTTGAGGAGATGAGTGTGTGATAGTGTGTGTTGAGGAGATGAGTGTGTGATAGTGTGTGTTGAGGAGTTGAGTGTGTGATAGTGTGTGTTGAGGAGATGAGTGGGTGATAGTGTGTGTTGAGGAGATGAGTGTGTGATAGTGTGTGTTGAGGAGATGAGTGTGTGATAGTGTGTGTTGAGGGAGATGAGTGTGTGATAGTGTGTGTTGAGGAGATGAGTGTGTGATAGTGTGTGTTGAGGAGATATGAGTGTGTGATAGTGTGTGTTGAGGAGATGAGTGGTGTGATAGTGTGTGTGTTGAGGAGATGATGGTGTGATAGTGTGTGTTGAGGGATGAGTGTGTGTGATAGTGTGTGTTGAGGAGTGAGTGTGTGATAGTGTGTGTTGAGGAGATGAGTGTGTGATAGTGTGTGTTGAAGGAGTGTGTGTGTGTTGTTGAGGAGATGAGTGTGTGATAGTGTGTGTGTTGAGGAGTGAGTGTGTGATAGTGTGTGTTGAGGAGATGAGTGTGTGATAGTGTGTGTTGAGGAGATGAGTGTGTGATAGTGTGTGTTGAGGAGATGAGTGTGTGATAGTGTGTGTTGAGGAGATGAGTGTGTGATAGTGTGTGTTGAGGAGATGTGTGTGTGATAGTGTGTGTTGAGGAGATGAGTGTGTGATAGTGTGTGTTGAGGAGATGAGTGTGTGATAGTGTGTGGAGGAGATGAGTGTGTGATAGTGTGTGTTGAGGAGTTGAGTGTGTGATAGTGTGTGTTGAGGAGTTGAGTGTGTGATAGTGTGTGTTGAGGAGTTGAGTGTGTGATAGTGTGTGTTGAGGAGATGAGTGTGTGTGATAGTGTGTGTTGAGGAGATGAGTGTGTGTGATAGTGTGTGTTGAGGAGATGAGTGTGTGATAGTGTGTGTTGAGGAGATGAGTGTGTGATAGTGTGTGTTGAGGAGATGAGTGTGTGATAGTGTGTGTTGAGGAGTGAGTGTGTGATAGTGTGTGTTGAGGAGATGAGTGTGTGATAGTTTGTGTTGAGGAGTTGAGTGTGTGATAGTGTGTGTTGAGGAGTTGAGTGTGTGATAGTGTGTGTTGAGGAGATGAGTGTGTGATAGTGTGTGTTGAGGAGATGAGTGTGTGTGAGTTTGGTGTTGTTTGTGAAGATGTGAAAGTGTGATGATAGTGTGTTGTGTTGTGGAGATGATGTGTGATAGTGTGTGTTGAGGAGATGAGTGTGTGATAGTGTGTGTTGAGGAGTTGAGTGTGTGATAGTGTGTGTTGAGGAGATGAGTGTGTGATAGTGTGTGTTGAGGAGATGAGTGTGTGTGATAGTGTGTGTTGAGGAGATGAGTGTGTGATAGTGTGTGTTGAGGAGAATGAGTGTGTGTGATAGTGTGTGTTGAGGAGATGAGTGTGTGATAGTGTGTGTTGAGGAGATGAGTGTGTGATAGTTGTGTGTTGAGGAGATGAGTGTGTGATAGTGTGTGTTGAGGAGATGAGTGTGTGATAGTGTGTGTTGAGGAGATGAGTGTGTGTGATAGTGTGTGTTGAGGAGATGAGTGTGTGATAGTGTGTGTTGAGGAGATGAGTGTGTTGATAGTGTTGTTGAGGAGATGAGTGTGTGATAGTGTGTGTTGAGGAGATGAGTGTGTGTATAGTGTGTGTTGAGGAGATGAGTGTGTGATAGTGTGTGTTGAGGAGATGAGTGTGTGATGTGTGTGTGAGGAGTTGAGTGTGTGATAGTGTGTGTTGAGGAGTGAGTGTGTGATAGTGTGTGTTGAGGAGATGAGTGTTGATAGTGTGTGTTGAGGAGATGAGTGTGTGTGATAGTGTGTGTTGAGGAGATGAGTGTGTGATAGTGTGTTTGAGGAGTGAGGAGTGTGTGATAGTGTGTGTTGAGGAGATGAGTGTGTGATAGTGTGTGTTGAGGAGATGAGTGTGTGATAGTGTGTGTTGAGCGGCCGAGTGTGTGACCGTGTGTGTTGAGGAGATGAGTGTGTGACCGTGTGTGTTGAGCGGCCGAGTGTGTGACCGTGTGTGTTTGTTGCCTCCGCAGGTCAGATGTCGGGGGATCACACTCGTCTGGAGTTCCACAACATCGAGACGGGCATCATGACGGAGCGCAGGTTCATCTCCGTCGTTCCCTCAAACTTCATCGGGCACCTGCAGGGCCTGACGCTCAACGGCGTGCCGTACCTGGACCAGTGCAAGAACGGAGACATCTCCTACTGTGAGCTGAACGCCCGCTTCGGCATGCGCCACATCATCGCCGACCCCGTGACCTTCCGCAATAAGGGCAGCTACCTAGCGCTGGCGACGCTGCAGGCGTACGCGTCCATGCACCTGTTCTTCCAGTTCAAGACCACGTCCACGGACGGCCTGCTGCTCTACAACAGCGGCGACGGCAGCGACTTCATCGTGGTGGAGCTGGTCAAGGGGTCAGTCTAACCCTAACCCTAACAGAGGAGAGGCGTATCGATGTTACATTAGCCGATAGTTTGATCGCTCCCAAATAAGGGGTCATTTCACAGGATAGAGTTCAGGCTTCAGGAAACCTGTTTGTTTTTTGCAGTTCCAAAAAGCGTCCATTCCTGTCAGGGTTTGTCCCCGCAGTGTTATGGAGAGAGAGGGACCCGATGCAGAATGACCAAGGCATTGAATTGATTTGACGAGACGGGGTAGAATAGGGGTGTCCGAGAGTGAGCATGAACAGCGGGACCGGGTCAACAGGAGAAGGGAAGATGAGATCCGACCTGTTGGAGAAGCACCAGATAATGACTGGAGGAACCGAAGGCTTTTGTCATGTTTGTTTTGTTTATTTTTATTTCAGTTGTAATAATTATTTGAGCAGATGGAGATTAGAACCACTTGAATGTTTTTCCTGCAGGTTTTTATTTTCGTCTCACATGGAAATAACGCCAGTCCAGGACGTTTTGATGTCAAGAAGGCGATCGAGTTCCAACAGATTCATTTTACACACAAACGTTGTTTAGATTCCTCTGAACTTATTGTTCTGAATAATTGTGTTTCTAAGCAACTGAGCGTGCGTGTGTGTGTGTGTGTGTGTCCGCCGTCAGTCCTCAGTTTAAAGAGGTTTACAGAGCAGACACGCTCGTCGTTTCTCACAGAATACATGTGCTGTCTTATAATAATATTGTGCAGTATTAAATATTCAAATGCAGAGAAAATAAACACTGAAAATAAGAAAACACTAACTCAAGACTATCCTTGTGCTGAGATGTGAAAAAACACACATTTATTCCAGTTTAATGATGGTGATAATAATAAACCTGTAAGGAGTGATGATCCGAGCGTGTGTGTGTGCGTCAGCAGTCTGACGTGAGATGTGTGTGTCCGTGTGTTCAGGTTTATCCACTACGTGTTCGACCTCGGGAACGGGCCGTCTCTCATGAAGGGAAACTCGGAGAAGCCGCTCAATGACAACCAGTGGCACAACGTGGTGGTTTCCCGAGACACCAATAACGTGCACATGCTGAAGATCGACTCTCGCACCGTGACGCAGCACTCCAACGGCGCCAGGAACCTGGACCTCAAAGGTACTCAACACACACACTAACCCTACCCCTGAACCTGTTAGGGGTTAAAGTCGCCACCGGGATAGAAAAACATGAACACACACACTTTGATTCAAAGCAGCTTTTCAGGGATAAACACATAATTTAACCCTAAAACAGGCAACGTGTCTCACGAGATTTTTTGGGGGCGTAAGAAAGATTTTTTTCATCAGATCTTTTATCAGCTTGGTCTGCCTTGAGATGCTGGTCACATGATGTGCTTCAAATGTTTTGTGATCAATTAGTCAGCCTGACCTAAATCCAACATGGCCGCCAGTGGTGCAGAACAGTTGGATATTAAGAGAAGTAAATATATATTAAACTTACTTTTCTTCTGAAAAAAAAAATACTTCTAACATTAATTGTGAACATTGTCTTAAGGTGCTGAAGGAGAAAATGAAGTAATATGTTGTTATTTAGCACGGTTTGAAATGTCTGCGTCTCTGAGACACGTTTAGGAATATAAAGGAATTAAACTAACTCTATTTAAAATGCATTATTCAAACTTCAATGATTGTAATTCAAGAATGCTTTGGGATATAGACCTAATTTTGGTCTTGTTTTAAAGAAAAGAAGTTTAAAACTTCCCAGATAGCAAACTGACATTGAATCAACGTGGAAACATGACGTCGAAACAACGTTGATCTGACATTGTTTTGCTCATCGAATTAACGTTGAACCAACGTCAGACGCGTCATTCTTTCAAAACTAACGGAAAATCAACTTGAAATCAACGCGTTGTTTCAACGTTATGAAAGCAAACCAATTTTCGATTTTCAAGAATGCCGCGTCTGACGTTGGTTCAACGTTAATTCGATGAGCAAAATCAACGTTGTTTCAATGTCATGAGAGACGTCTTTCCACGTTGATTCAATGTCAGTTTGCTGTCTGGGTTACATTAAATCAAATATACTGTACTTAATATTTATGTAATTATGTTTATATTCTTACTGTAAAATAAGCCAGATATCTAACCAAGTTGTGTTTCAAATTTGAAGTTGAGATCACAATAATTGAGATTTTGTTTAGACATAATTCCAAAAATCCAAAAAGTCCAAATATTACTTCTGTCACAAAATATGAAACCTTGAGACTCAGACCTTCCTGACAATATGTGTTTTGTCAAGATTAAAAAAAGGTTTTGATCATTAATTATGAAATATGACTAAGCCCAAAAGGGGAGGAGGCCATTAAAATAATTTAGAGTACCGTTTCTATGGTAACACAACGTCCAATTTCAAAACGGGTGTCACAGGCGGAATCTTGAGTTTGTACGCCACACTCTACGGCTCAGCTCCGCCCACGCTCCACAGCTCAGCTCCGCCCACACTCCACAGCTCAGCTCCGCCCACGCTCCACAGCTCAGCTCTGCCCACGCTCCACAGCTCAGCTCCGCCCACGCTTCATGGCTCAGCTCCGCCCACACTCCACGGCTCAGCTCCGCCCACGCTCCACAGCTCAGCTCCGCCCACACTCCACAGCTCAGCTCCGCCCACGCTTCATGGCTCAGCTCCGCCCACACTCCACGGCTCAGCTCCGCCCACACTCAACGGCTCAGCTCCGCCCACGCTTCATGGCTCAGCTCCGCCCACACTCCACAGCTCAGCTCCACCCACACTCCACGGCTCAGCTCCGCCCACACTCCACGGCTCAGCTCCGCCCACACTCCACGGCTCTGCTCCGCTCACACTCCACAGCTCAGCTCCGCTTATGGTCCACGGCTCAGCTCCGCCCACTCTCCACGGCTCAGCTCTGCCCACGCTCCACGGCTCAGCTCCGCCCACACTCCACAGCTCAGCTCCGCCCACGCTCCACAGCTCAGCTCTGCCCACGCTCCACAGCTCGGCTCCGCTCACACTCCACGGCTCAGCTCCGCCCACGCTCCACAGCTCAGCTCTGCCCACGCTCCACAGCTCGGCTCCGCCTACTCTCCACGGCTCAGCTCTGCCCACACTCCACAACTCAGCTCCGCCCACACTCCACGGCTCAGCTCCGCCCACACTCCACAACTCAGCTCCGCCCACACTCCACGGCTCAGCTCCGCCCACACTCAACGGCTCAGCTCCGCCCACGCTTCATGGCTCAGCTCCGCCCACACTCCACGGCTCAGCTCCGCCCACACTCCACAGCTCAGCTCCGCCCACTCTCCACTGCTCAGCTCCGCTTATGCTCCACAGCTCAGCTCCGCCCACTCTCCACTGCTCAGCACCGCCCACACTCCACAGCTCAGCTCCGCCCACACTCCACGGCTCAGCTCCGCCCACACTCAACAGCTCAGCTCCGCCCACGCTCCACAGCTCAGCTCTGCCCACGCTCCACAGCTCGGCTCCGCCCACACTCCACGGCTCAGCTCCGCCCACGCTCCACAGCTCAGCTCCGCCCACGCTTCATGGCTCAGCTCCGCCCACACTCCACGGCTCAGCTCCGCCCACGCTCCACAGCTCAGCTCCGCCCACGCTTCATGGCTCAGCTCCGCCCACACTCCACAACTCAGCTCCGCCCACACTCCACGGCTCAGCTCCGCCCACACTCAACGGCTCAGCTCCGCCCACGCTTCATGGCTCAGCTCCGCCCACACTCCACGGCTCAGCTCCGCCCACACTCCACAGCTCAGCTCCGCCCACTCTCCACTGCTCAGCTCCGCTTATGCTCCACAGCTCAGCTCCGCCCACTCTCCACTGCTCAGCACCGCCCACACTCCACGGCTCAGCTCCGCCCACACTCAACAGCTCAGCTCCGCCCACGCTCCACAGCTCAGCTCTGCCCACGCTCCACAGCTCGGCTCCGCCCACACTCCACGGCTCAGCTCCGCCCACGCTCCACAGCTCAGCTCCGCCCACGCTTCATGGCTCAGCTCCGCCCACACTCCACGGCTCAGCTCCGCTTATGCTCCACGGCTCAGCTCCGCCCACACTCCACGGCTCAGCTCCGCCCACGCTCCACGGCTCAGCTCCGCCCACACTCCACGGCTCAGCTCCGCCCACGCTCCACAGCTCAGCTCCGCCCACTCTCCACTGCTCAGCTCCGCCACACTCCATGGCTCAGCTCCGCCCACACTCCATGGCTCAGCTCCGCCCACACTCCACGGCTCAGCTCCGCCCATGCTCTGTGGCTCATCTCCGCCCGTGCTCCACGGCTTAGCTCCGCCCACGCTCCACGGCTTAGCTCCGCCCACGCTCCATGGCTCAGCTCAACGGCTCAGCTCCGCCCACACTCCACGGCTCAGCTCCGCCCACGCTCCACGGCTCAGCTCCGCCCACTCTCCAATGCTCAGCTCCGCCCACACTCCTCAGCTCATAATTTTATCCATAGAAACTCATCACCAAAATTACACATTTAAACAAGTTTTCCTTAAAAAAACTTTGTTCTTGTCTTAAAATATCTTGAATGTAACTCAACATTTGATATGTGCAGGTCTATGAATATGCAAATGAGCCCCGCCTCCACTCACTCCCTCTCTCAGAGATCCACTGGTTGTCGATCACGTGTTGATCTGATTGGTTAGAAGGTCGTTTGTGATGTCAGAAACACCAGCGATTTACACCACAGGGGGACTTTAACACAATTCGTAACTTATTTATGATCATTTTTAATGATTTAAGTTCTTCTTAAGTTCTGTCTGTAACACAGATGTGAGTATTTCTGAGAGAGTGTAAGTTGCTGAGAGAGTGTAAGTTGAGAGTGTAAGTTAACCATCACTTATAATGCTGGACTGCTGTCGGGTGACATGACGGAATATAAGGCTGCATGCTACAAACTGAGGCGGGATATAGCGGATGCTAAGCGGCGCTACAGAGACAAGATGGAAACAAAATTCCAGGAAAAGGACATACGAAGCATATGGCAGGGATTACATGAGATCACGGACTATAAGGGGATCCGCCCCTGCATGGTGAGTGCAGATGAGTCGCTGGCGAACGAATTGAACTCCTTTTATGCACGTTTTGAATCGAGCAATAATAACGCTGGTAATACGAACAGGGGTTTGTTTAATGCAGATAGATGGAGTTCTACAAGTGAGGCAGCACTCAGCCTAGTCCTTTCTGAGCACGATGTGAGAAGGGAGCTGAAAAGGGTAAACACCAGGAAGGCGGCGGGTCCAGATAGGATCTCAGGAAGGGTCATAAGGACCTGCGCTGACCTTCTGGCTCCGGTGTTCACCTCCATATTTAATCTCTCTCTTGCACATGCACAATCCATAGTCCCCACATGCTTCAAGATGTCCACCATCATCCCGGTGCCCAAGAACGCCTCCCCAGCTGGTATGAACGACTACCGTCCAGTAGCACTGACCTCTGTGATCATGAAGTGCTTTGAAAGGCTGATAAAGAATTACATTTGTTCCTCTCTTCAAAGCACCATAGATCCACTGCAGTTCGCCTACCGCTCCAACAGATCCACAGACGACGCCATCTCCCAGGTCATGCACACCACCCTCTCCCATCTTGACATCACAGGGGGGGGCTACGTCAGACTGCTGTTCATAGACTACAGTTCAGCTTTCAATACTGTAGTTCCCAGCAGGCTGGTTACGAAGTTGTATGACCTGGGTTTGAATCCATCTATGTGCGCCTGGATCTTGGACTTTCTAACTGCCAGGCCTCAGGTTGTTAGAGCGGGAGGGCACACATCACACTCCCTCGTCCTCAACACTGGTGTCCCTCAGGGCTGTGTGCTGAGTCCTTTGCTTTATTCCCTGTATACCCACGACTGTGTCGCCAGGCATAACTCCACCAGCATCGTGAAATTCGCGGACGACACGGTTGTGGTGGGCCTGATCACTAATAACGATGAGAGGGCCTATCTACAGGAGGTGGCAGACCTGATAATGTGGTGCAAGGACAACAGCCTACTGCTTAATGGGGTGAAGACCAAGGAGATGGTGGTGGACTTCTGCCCACAGCGTCGCAGGACCTACACCCCTCTCCTGATAGATGGGACGCCAGTGGAGAGGGTGAGTAGCTTTAAATATCTCGGAGTGCACATTTCTGAGGATTTATCCTGGACTGCACACACGGATACTGTAGTGAAGAAGGCAAGACAGCGCCTTTATCACCTCAGACAGCTTAGGAGATTTAGGGTCTCTCAACGGATCCTGATTTCCTTCTATTATGCTGCTGTACAGAGCATACTGACTGGAGCCATATCTGTCTGGTACGGTAACAGCTCCTGCAGGGACCGGCGAGCTCTGCAGAGGGTGGTGAGGACCGCGGAGCGGATCATGGGCATCACACTCCCTTCTCTGCATGACTTGTACATCGCACGCTGTACTGCCAGGGCCAGAAGGATTATCAAGGACCTCCATCATCCTTGCAATAAACTGTTTGTAACCCTTCGGTCAGGTAGACGCCTGCGCTGTCATAAAACACGCACAGAGAGGATGAGGAACAGTTTTTTCCCTGTGGCGATCAGAGCCTTGAATTCTGCACTCTGAACATTGTTAATCGGAATGACTTTCAATTTTCAACCCAGCTACTGAATTTTAACATTTGTACATCTGTCTGTCTAGTTTTTAACTTATGTAATTTTATTGTACTGTATTTATTGTATCTATTATATTTATTGTATTTTTATCTTCTACTGAGCACAGAAGTACAGTACGTCACAAAAACATTTCACTGCGCATCTTGTATGAGTATGTGACAAATAAAACTTTGAACCTTGAACCTTGCGTGTTGAAGGTCCTCCTCTTCCTCTTCCTCTTCACGGTCGTGGCTCTGATTCGCATGAACACTAGTGTCGAGTGTGGATGAAGACTAACCCTGAGCGGGACTGTAGACGGATGCCCTAATCCGCGGGTTTCCCGCGACCCGTTAGCGTGAAGCGTCTGCATGCGCTGCGTCTGATTGGCTTACGCTCGCATTAGCGCTCCAGTCGCCTGCATCTCAGCGAACAGAATTAGCCATGTGTGTGTGTGTGTGTGTGTGGGAGTGATGTGTGTGTGTGATAGATGCGGTGGGATAGTTTAATCCCGTCTCGCTGATCCTCTTTGTATCGCGACACACACACACACACACACACACACATTCTTTATGCTTCTATCAAACATGATCATTTATTAATTACCAGGTTTAGCCCTTCTCAGTTAATCTCTGTGATAATGAGTCATAAACGGAATCATAATGAGCCTTCAGTGAAGCGCTGGTGGATCCTTCACACACTGAACTGGTTTATCTTCATGAACTGGTTTATCTTCAGGAACTGGTTTATCTTCAGGAACTGGTTTATCTTCAGGAACTGGTTTATCTTCATGAACTGGTTTATCTTCAGGTACTGGTTTATATTCATGAACTGGTTTATCTTCAGGAACTGGTTTATCTTCATGAACTGGTTTATCTTCAGGAACTGGTTTATCTTCAGGAACTGGTTTATCTTCAGGAACTGGTTTATCTTCAGGAACTGGTTTATCTTCAGGAACTGGTTTATCTTCATGAACTGGTTTATCTTCAGGTACTGGTTTATATTCATGAACTGGTTTATCTTCAGGAACTGGTTTATCTTCATGAACTGGTTTATCTTCAGGTACTGGTTTATCTTCATGAACTGGTTTATCTTCATGAACTGGTTTATCTTCATGAACTGGTTTATCTTCAGGAACTGGTTTATCTTCAGGAATTGGTTTATCTGCAGGAACTGGTTTATCTTCATGAACTGGTTTATCTTCAGGAACTGGTTTATCTTCATGAACTGGTTTATCTTCAGGAATTGGTTTATCTTCATGAACTGGTTTATCTTCATGAACTGGTTTATCTTCAGGAACTGGTTTA